TACGCCAAAAATCGGAAAAAATAAACATTTAGAGATCAAGTAACGAGACAAAAATTTCAATGGTTATAAATGAAAAATAATGAATTAAAGGTTATTTTAACTCCGATTTTGATTATTTTTTACAACTACACTCCTTGACCCTATATGAATACAATGACTAAATTTTTTCTTCAATTTAAAATATTTACACTAGTGGATACCACAAAATCTTATGTTATATTTAACGAAAGTATAGATAAACTCTTAATTGTTAGACGACGTTTTTTTTTATAAAAAACGTCATCTTTACATACAATAGACGACGGTTTTTTATAAAAAGCGTCATCTTTACGTACAATAGACGACGGTTTTTAAAAAAACGTCATCTTTACATACAATAACGACGGTTTTTATAAAATGTGTCATCTTTACATACAATAGACGACGGTTTTTATAAAAAGCGTCATCTTTACATACAATAGACGACGATTTATAAAAAGAGTCATCTTTACATATAATAGACGACGGTTTTTATAAAAAGCGTCATCTTTACATACAATAGACGACAGTTTTTATAAAAAGCGTCATCTTTACATACAATAGACGACTTTTTATTTATTTATAAAAATCGTCATCTTTACATGTAATAGACAACTTTTTTATAAAAGGCGTCATCTTTACATGCAATAGACGATGGTTTTTATAAAAAGTGTCATCTTTACATACAATAGACGACGATTTATAAAAAGAGTCATTTTTACATACGATAGACGACGGTTTTTATAAAAAGCGTCATTTTTACATACAATAGACGACAGTTTTTATAAAAAGCGTCATCTTTACATACAATAGACGACGGTTTTTATAAAAAGCGTCATCTTTATATACAATAGACGACGATTTATAAAAAAAGTCATCTTTGCATACAATAGACAACGATTTTTATAAAAAGCGTCCTCTTTACATACGATAGACGACGGTTTTTTATAAAAAGCGTCATCTTTACATACAATGGACGACATTTTTTATAAAAAGCGTCATCTTTACATACAATAGGCGACGGTTTTTATAAAAAACGTCATCTTTACATACAATAGATGACGATTTATAAAAAGAGTCATCTTTACGTACAATAGACGACGGTTTTATAAAAAGCGTCATCTTTACATATTATAGACGACAGTTTTTATAAAAGCGTCATCTTTACATATAATAGACGACGGTTTGTATAAAAATTGTCATCTTTACATATAATAGACGACGGTTTTTATCAAAACAACTACGTCTTTACCAAAAAAATGACACTTGATTTTTAAAAGACGACGCTTGTCATACCTGCCGTCGTCGTTTTTTGGTCAGATTTTAACTCTGAAGAAAACCTTTTTAATAAGACGACGCGTTTTTATTTGTGTGCGTCGTTATAAAAAATATTCAATAGTACCTCCGGTTTTTAGTTGTTTAAGTCACTTATCCACGACGGTTTTTTTTTATCGTCGTCTTTTTAAATACGAAGACGGTTTTTTCTTCTACCATCGTCTTTTTCACTTTTTGTAGTAGTGTGTACTCCACAGGAATGTAATCGCATATACTAGAAACTTTGTGGTATAAATGGTTAGGAGGTTCGTTTTAACTCTTCTTGGTAGTTTTTGTTAGACCAAGTGAGATGTTAGGTGCAAATTCAAATGACTCTTGTTCAAATCCAAAGCTTGGTGGTTTAGATAACTTGTGACTCTTGTTGTAATTCTATTTAGAGTTTTGGTTCAAACTATATTAGTTTTTTATTATTTTGAATACGTAATCCTATGCAAACAACAATATAAATATTGGATCATTCCAGAGCTTTGTTGTATCCTTTCATCCCAATCTACTGATTCTTTTAGTTTTTTGTTCAATGGAAACACAATTACCTTGTTCACGCTACATGTGGGCATTTTGGTCCAAAGAAAAATAAGAAGATAAGAGGCCAAAGTCCGATATTGACCGTTATGTGCACCATAAACATGGTTACAAAGCTCATTATGATTCCTAATGCAACTTGAAGGAGAGTGTATGAAAGAAGGTGGCAAATTCATTGGAGAGGGACAAGGATTAGAGATTTCAACTAGGTAGATAATGGACTCTCCACACTTTCGAGGTCATGGCAGTTTCTTCTATATTCCTACCCTTATGCTTTTTATGTGTTTCTGGAAGAATTGTCACATCCCGGAATCGGCTCTGCCATAGCACGATATTGTCTGCTTTGGCCCCCCTTATCTTCCCTCACGATTTTGTTTTTGGGAACTCACGAGCAACTTCCCAGTGGGTCACCCATCTTGGGATTGCTCTAGCTCCAACTCGCTTAACTTCGGAGTTCCCATGACTCCGAAGCCAGTGAGCTCCCAAAAGGTCTCGTGCTAGATGGAAGCGGACATGTAAATATAAGGCACATTACCCCCTCTCCGTTGGTCAATGTGGGATGTTACAATCCACCCTCCTTAGGGGCTCGACGTCCTCCTCAGCGCACTCGAACCACACAGTAAAGTGATTCTGATACCAAATTGTCACATCTCGGGATCGGCTCTGCCATAGCACGATATTGCCCGCTTTGACCCCTCTCTCTGCCCTCACGATTTTGTTTCTGGGAACTCACGAGCAACTTCCTAGTGGGACACCCATTATGGGATTGCTCTAGTCCCAACTCGCTTTTGGAGTTCCCATGACTCCGAAGCCAGTGAGCTCCTAAAAGGCCTCATGCTAAATGGAGGCGGGCATGTACATATAAGGCACATCACCCCCTCTTCGTTGGTCAATGTGGGATGTTACAAGAATTGTTCAAGTTAGACATCATGACGAAGGAGGACAAGTTTAAGTTAGACATTATGATGGAGAAGAATAAAAAAAAAGATTTGAGTTCAAGCAGCAGGAACTTGAGAAAGGCTTGGATGGATGTGTTGCGCTTATGACTTCTGAACAAATGATTGATTGACCAAGCAAGGAACCTCCTCTTGATCTAGGTCTCTTTCAGTTCCTCGGATTCAAGGATGGTTAGGCTTTGTAGGTGTGTTTTTACGATTTTGGGATATTAAAGTGTGAATCGTGAAATTTATTAAAAATGTAATTTAACCTAATGACAAGAATTAAAGTACAAGAAAAATATATCAAAGAGATTAATAAACATAAAATAAAGCAAGATAGAAATAATAGCGATAAGAATGATAAACTAAATTAAACTTAATGAAAATTTGATAACAATGAAGAGTTAAAAAAAATTGAAATAAAATTGAATTTAAAATCGATGTAATGAAAATTGCAAGAATTAAACTTACACCAAGAAAATGAAGAACTGATCTACTTTACATGCTTAAAAAATAAAACCTTAGCCTAGGAAAAGAAAAGTGTGAGACGAAAAGGTAGTCTTTGGGTGTTGATGTGTCCCCTCCTCCCTTCATTTGATGAGGTTTATTTAGGGCATCCGTCAGCCCATGGGTTGGCCATTAAATGGCCAAGAGGTCAACTCTATTTGAAATCTTTCATTGTGAGGCCATCTAAATCCGTGAGATTGGATTGATGGAGATCCTATGATTGCTTGATTCTCTCCTTTTTTGGCATATTCCAGATTGTCATCAATTTCCTTAATTTATTTCCTTGTATGACTTCCATCACGAGCATGAAAATCCTCTAGAAGTTTGGGGTCTAATTCTATCGGCTAGGCTTGGACCTTCGAGATGTTAGAAATATGCCCTTAAAGCCAACTAATTATGTAATAGTTAGAGTAAAGGACATCTTTGATAAAAGACATATTATGTTATCAATGGGCAAGAAATGTTGTTTTATAGATTAAATCATCCTATATTATCATTCAATATGTAGAACAACCATAGTCTAAGGAATACACAAGTGGATATGAGAGCTATGCAATGAGATTGCATACATGGAGACTTCTCAAAGGTCAAGTGGAAATCCAACTCCAAGCAAAGGTCAAGTGGCAATCCAACTCCAAGCAAAGATCAAGTGGAAATCAAACTCCAAGCCAAAGTCAAGTGGAAACCCAAAGCCAAACTAGATGGCCACTTAGCCAACCAAACTTAAGTACCCATGGTCTGAGCTAGAAAGTTCGTTGATCCATGATATATAATTATATATAAACATATGTCATGTGTTGTGAAGAAAATGGAGGCCTTACGGCGTGGTAGCTTTCAAAGGCCATGAGTTGGTTTGCATTTTGTTATATATATATATATATATTATATGATGATCTTAAGTTTGAACCGAGAAATTTCCAGCCACTCCAACATTAGTGGATTATTTTTAATCAATACTAGTACTCCGGAAGTTACAATGTCTCATCAGATGTCAAGACAAGTCTTAGAGGTCTAAGCCCATGCCCCGGATTCGAACCCAAGATTTCCAGAGAACTGCATGCATTTGACAGAAACCATATATGGAAGGAAATCAAGGAGATTGATGACAATCTAGAGTATTCCAAAAATAGAGAGAATCAAGCAATCATAAAATCTTCATCAATGTGATCCTACGGATTTGGAGTCTTCAAGAGGAAAGAATTTTAAAAGAGCTGACCTTTGGCCATTTAATGGCCAGCCCATGGGCTAACGGATGCTCCTATATAAATCTCTCCAGATGAAGAGCGAAGGACCCGACATTGTACACAAAAACTTACTTTTTGTCTTTCGCTTTTCAATCCCTCGACTAGGTTTTATTTTCCAAGCAAGTAGACTATATTAGTTCTTTGCATTTGTTAGTGTAAGTTTAAGTTCTTGCATTTTTCATTGTTCGCACTAAATCTGAACAGATAAGAGTTTAGGCTAATTTACAAGTATGCTGGTGGTTGAGGACCGGAGTGACCTTCTTCCGTGATGTCTGAAGGTCCGAGCGGAGGCTGGATCCAACTTTAGGAGGGGATACCGGTGTGGTACCTGCCGAAGGTACTCCGATACCAAAGTTAGGGACTAAGAGCGATTTTATTGACAGTGCAAGCACTAATCAAGTCAGAAAGTCCTACCACTTGGTTGGGCCAAGGGGCTCTATTTATAGAGAGCATTTGTGATGCTCTTAGCACTTAGTTTCGATGTGGGACTCGTGGGAGTGTCTTCGAAGGTTGACACGTGATTCTGACAGGCTCTGGCAGGAATTCTGAGGCAGTCTGTCAGAATCGGATTGACGTGATGGTTGGTTGATCGGTAGACGATATCGAAGGTTGGCGTAGGTAATGATGCTGCGTTACCGACCAACTGAATCGGTACCGAGTGCCGAGAAAACATTCGGTATGGCCCCAGTTGAGTTGGTCTCTTGCTTTGAGGACGTTCCACGTGTCGCGATGTGAGTGGGTGGTCAGATATGGTACAAACAGTAGTCTCCCAAGTTTCCGATTGAGGAGGGACTTCTTGGTTAGGGACTTGCTTATGTCCCTGAGCTCCGGCATTCTGACCCAGGAACGAGCGTCTGTCGTTTGTAAGTCGTTGGTGATCATGTAGTCCCCCAAGTCCGCAAGCTAAGGGGTTGGTTTGAAGATTGGAAGGGAGCGGCAGACAGAGCCGAAGGTGGGTGAGCATCGCATAAAGGATGAGTTAGGGGGCCTGCCGTTCGGTACGAGAGGCGAGGGAAAACAAGATCCATGCGTGCCTGCCGTTCGGCACGAGGGGTGAGTGAAAATCACCCCGTGCGTGCCTGCTGTTCGGCACGAGGGGTGATTGAAAATCGTCCCGTGCGTGCCTGCAGTTCGGCACGAGGGGTGATGGAAAACAAGACCCATGCGTGCCTGCCGTTCGTCACGAGGAGTGATTAAAAATCGTCCCGTGCGTGCCTGCCGTTCGGCACGAGGGGTGATTGAAAATCGTCCCGTGCGTGCCTGCCGTGTGGCACGAGGGGTGATGGAAAATCGTCCCGTGCGTGTCTGCCGTTCGGCACGAGGGGTGATTGAAAATCGTCCCGTGCATGCCTACCATTCGGCATGAGGGGTGATGGAAAATCGTCCCATGCGTGCCTGCCATTTGGCACGAGGGGTGAGTGAAAACAAGACCCATGCGTGCCTGCCGTTTGCCAAGAAAGTTGTTGTCTCAAAAAGGAGAGGAATGGAGAAGTCGAAACGTCGAAGTGTAGGCGCAAGGGGGAAGGTGAGAGTGCTTGGGCTCCCCTGTGCATGGGGGACACGTGTCGGCAAGGCGGCGAAGAGTTGTGACGTTTCGGTTCTCGATGCTAGGCTTGTCCTATAAAAAGGAGGAAGAGACGATAGGAGGAGGTACTTGAGTTTTTGAGAGCAAACGGAGCTTGTGAGAGGCGACTTCCACCATCGTGCGAAACAAGGTATGTTGGTGTTTTCCCTCTCAGTATGAATCAAATGCTTGTATACTTGCATGAACACGTAAGAACTTAGATGAACTGAGAGGTGCGTAGATGAACATCAGCTCTTGGGCTCTAGGATAGGGGTTTGATTCGAGCATGTCGTTTAGTTTCGCTTTGCTTTTGTTTGTAGATGTCAGACACCGAATCAGACTATAGTCGTAGCCCAAGAGCTTTTGATGGAGACACGGCCTCGGAGAGCACAACCGCGGGCCTGTATAGTCCTGATTTCTAGGAGACTGAGAGGGGAGTACCGGAGGTGTCTACCGATTCCGGAAGCACTTCGAGTGTAGTAGAAGTGGGGGCTGATGGCGCTCGGCCATCGACGAGTGGGCGTCGATTGGGAGAGGCCGAAGGAGATGTCACCGTTGCCGACCCTGGAAAAGGGCGTGCTGACGGTGGTAACAGGCCGACAAAGGATACCGATGGCGAAGCCAAAGGACCTTGTGTTCGGGGTGGACCATCTAGAGCCGAACATCATGACCGAGGCGCAGGTGGCAAAGATCCGGGCGCTGTACAACATACCGGAATCGGTAAAGATGCGGATCCCATGGTCGTTGGAGTTGCTGAGCAATCCAACAGGGGAGGTGGTCTTCTTCACGGATGTCTTCAAGCACGGGCTTCGGTTGCTGTTGAGGCATTCGGTGCAGAAGGTCTTGGCGGCGATCGGTTACGCCCCGGGGCAAAGCTGGTGAAGGAGAGCCGAGCTATAAGCAATTTTCCCATCTGTATAGTGTGACGAGGGCGAACAGCGCCGATCAAGGGGGGTGGGTGCAGTCGAATTGCCTGGCGGCAGGGCAAAGGGGGCACTTTCTGGTGGGGGTGCCGAGTTCTCAGAAGACCTGGCGCTGGCATCGGGTGCTAGTGTCCGGAGCCTGGGAATCGGCACCAGGGGTAATTGTGGAGAGGCATATCCCCACGTCCTTCCAGACAGTAGGTAGGTCCATGGGGTGCCGTTCGGTGGCAATGTTTTGGTTTTTTTTTCTTTTTCTTTTTCTTTTACCGAAGCTAACCGAAAGTTGTTTTTTTTGTGTTGCAGTGTCCTTGAAACGGCCGATCGCTACGAAGAGGGAGATAGAAGTGATCGAGCGTGTTCGGTCAAGGATATCATAGGAAGGTCGCTTTCACAAGGCTCTGCTGGATTACAAGAACTTGTACAAGACAGGTCTAATCAGCGAGCTTGAGTACCGTCGAAGGAAGGAGGAAGAAGAAGAAAAAGAGAGGCAAAGTAAGTGATGCCGTTCGGTAATTCATCGGTTTTGTGTATTGTAGCGTGTTTAATGCAGTGGCAGAAGGGAGAGAGATGACGGACGCGACGAGGAGGCGGCTTCAGTCGCGGGCCCCTCAGAAGAAGACCGGTTCCTCGCGACCGAAGACGAAGAAGCCGCGCCAGGCCGAGGGTGCATCGGCATAAGAGGGTACGCCGGCCAATTAGCGGCTGGAGAAAAGGGTGGCCGAGGCCGAACTGATTCGAGAGGCCCACCTCCAAGTCACCGGGAAGAGGGTGATAGAAGGTGCCCTCGATGTGACCCCTCTGCCGAAGATGCCAAGGGGGCCGAACGACGACGAGGATACCGAGGCCGACCCAATGAACATTGCCTGCCCTCGAAAGGTGGTGCCGTTCGTGAACTGCTTCATTGAGGGCGCTCAGATGAAGCTGCAGGAGCTGGAGCAGTTGCGATGAAGTCCTTGTGCGAACAGGCCGGTCGAGCCTTCCGCCTCCAGGCTACCGTAAGTGTACTTCCTTCAGCGTTGTGCAAGTGTTTGAGGTGATGGTAGTGCTAACATGGGTTTGTGTTTGCAGGCGAACATGGAGATGTGGCTCGGCATGAAGCGGGCTGTCAATATGGCCGAGCGTGTCCAGAAAAAATATGAGGACGGCCGAGCCAAAGTTGCCGAAGCTGGTAAGATGCTGTAGGAGGTGGATCGGCACGCAGAGGAGAATGTTGCCAAGATTGTCGAGCTATCCTCCAGGTTGGCGGAGGCGGAGAGGGCGGCAGTTGATGCTGACGAGGAGGCGGCAAAGGAGGCCGTGCTTCGGTCTCGGGCGACGTAGGTGGAAGAGGCCAAGAAACAGGCCATAGCGGAGTACCGAGACTCGCCTGAGTTCTTGGCATTCCTTGATAAGGAGGTGATGGTGCAGTGCGAGGATCTCATCTACTGGTTCAAGCGTTTTAACATGGACAAAAAACTGAACTTGAACTTCCTACGGGAATCGCCGCCGTTGCCCGAGAGGGTGACCGAGGAGATGGTGGAGGCGTACCTCGGGGAGGATGCCGAAGCGGAGACCTCAAGTGGCTCGGAGTCAGACAATGAGGAAGAAGAAGCTACGCCACCTCCCGGGCCGTCGAGTGTTCGAGACACCAAAGCGCAAGCCCCAACTGCTGCTGAGGACGATCATCCTACGCCGTAACTCTTGCCTTGCCATGCTTTGGTTTTTGTGTAATTAATATTTGGATATGTCGGCCGTTCGGCCTTTTTGTAAAGACAATTGCCTTAGTTTGGGGCTTTAATTTATATCCATGTCTATTTTGAATCAGCTTCGGTATTTGTTTTTTTGTTCCGAATACAAGCATGTATGCCGAATTGCGTAGAAATAGGATATAGGTATATAAATTGCCGTTTGAAAGTTAGATTGTACAAAAGGGTAGTGGCGGAAAGTCCAGTCACTTGTAATAGAATTTCAAATGTTCAACATTCCAAGGGTGTCCAAGGGTGTGACCATCGGAGCAACGCAATCGGTAGGTGTCGGGTCGGCAGATGCTGACAATTTCATAAGGTCCCTTCCAGGAGGGGCGAGAGTGCCTTTAGTAGGATTTCTCGTTGCTAGAGACACTTTACGCAGAACCCAGTCGCCCACTTTGAACGATCGGTGTTTTATGCGCGAGTCGTAGTACTGAGCAGTTCGTTGTTTGTAGGTCGCGTTCCGGAGCTGTGCCTGCGATCAGTGTTCGTCGATGAGATCCAGATTGAGGGCGAGCCACTGTTCATTATGCTGAGGTTCGTAAGATGTCGTTCGGCATGTGGGCGCATGTACCTCCACCGGTACTACAGCTTCAGTGCTGAAGGCTAAGGAGAACGGTGTCTCTCCAGTTGACCTTCGGTAGGAGGTGTTGATGGCCTACAGTGCCTCTGGTAGCATGGCAGGCCAATTGCCCTTGGCGGCTCCCAGCTTGTTCTTCAGCGTTTTCTTGATGATTTTGTTGATGGCTTCCACTTGTCCGTTGGATTGTGGATGTGCCGGGGATGCAAAGAAAATGCTGATGTTGAATCAGGAGCAGAGATGCCGAAACCGTGAACAGTCGAATTGCTTGCCGTTGTCGGTTACGATGGTGTTTGGTAGGCCGAATCGGCATAGGATATTTTTCCAGACAAAGTGTTCAATCTTAGCTACCATTATCGTTGTGAGGGCTTTGGCTTCGTTCCATTTGGTGAAGTAATCAACGGCGACGACTGCGAACTTAAGCTGACCCGTGCCTGGAGGCATGGGGCCGATGAGATCAAGTCCCCACTAGGCGAATGGCCATGGGCTAGCCATCGGGGTGAGTGGTTCGGCAGGAACTTTCGATACAGATCCGAAATGTTGGCACGGATCGCACTTTTGCACAATCTGGGTGGAGTCAGCGTGGAGAGTTGGCCAATAATAGCCTTGCCGAATGGCCTTGAAGGCCAAGGATCGGGATCCCGAATGATCACCACACGCACCCTCGTGTATCTCGCGCAAGATGTAGTCTCCCTGTTGTGGTGTGACACATCTTAGCAACAGTAGGGAGTAGCTGCGTCGATAGAGGACGCCTTGCAAAAGAAGGTACCGAGCCGATCGTTGTCGTACTACCTTTGCCTCAGTTTTGTCAGTTGGTAGGGTGTCGTCGGTGAGGTGGGCGTGGATCAGGTCCATCCAACTAGGATCCTGACGGACGGTGTTGACATCGGCTTCGGCCGTGCTCCATCGAGCGAGAACTTCGATGGGGACGCGACGGTCGACACGGTCGTGGATTGCCGAAGCGAGCCTAGAGAGAGCATCGGCGTGGCTGTTCTCAGATCTGGGGACCTGGCGGATGTAGTAGGTTTTGAACTGTTTGAGTAATCGACGGGTCTGCACGAGATAGGCAGACATTGATTCATCTTTTGCTGTGAATTCGGTGATGACCTGGTTGACGACAAGTTGGGAGTTGCTACATATCATCAGCCATTCAGCACCTGAGCTTTGGGCAAGCCGAAGGCCTGCAAGGAGTGCCTCGTATTCGGCCTCGTTGTTGGAAGCACGGAATTGGAAGAGGATAGCATATTCGATTGTGCTGTCATCCGGAGTTTTGAGGACTAGGCCAGCGCCGCTGCCCTGCCAATTGGATGAGCCGTCCACGTATAAAGTCCAATGAGGGCTTTTGTGATCGAACGGGTTGTCAGTCGAAGGTGGTGTTGGGATAGGGTCGATTGGTCGACCGTCCTTGGGTGGAAGTGTGAACTCCGAGATGAAATCGGCCACGGCCTGTCCTTTTTCGGAAGGCCGAGGGCGGTACCTGATCAGTTGTCCTGATGTCTCTGGCTTATGCAAGAACTGCCGCAGGGGTTGATTGGTTAATACGTCGATGCTGTGAGCCTGGAAGTAGGGCCGAAGCCTGCGTGCAGAGAGGACGAGGGCGTAGGCCAGCTGTTCAAGTTGGGGGTACCGTTGCTCGGCGTCCTGTAATGCATGGCTCATATAAAAGATGGGAAGTTCGATGCCGTTCGGTCTTCGGATAAGCACGAAACTCAGGGCCGATGCCGAGACCGAGAGATAGATGACGAGGTCTTCTCTGGGAAGAGGGGTGGACAGCAGAGGGGCTCGACTCATGTAGGCTTTGAGATCTTCGAACGCTCGGTCGCATTCGGAAGTCCAATTGACCTGCCGTTTGCTTCCTTTGGGAGCTTTGAAAAAAGGGGCGCACCGATCAGTGGCTTTTGATATGAAACGGGCAAGGTGGCGACTCAGCCGGTGAGGCTCTGAACCTCCTTCTTTGTCCTCGGCACCTGCATATTGATGAGTGCTCGGATCTTTTCGGGGTTGGCTTCAATCCCCCTCTGGCTGATCATGAAGCCTAGGAATTTGCCGAAAGAGTCGCCGAAGGCACACTTGCTCGGGTTCAGGCGCACGTTGTATTGTTTCAGCTTACCAAACATGAGGGACAGGTTCCGAAGATGATCGCTGGCAGTCCGACTTTTGACCAGCATATCGTCTACGTAGACCTCCATTGAAGTGCCAATGAGTTCGGCAAAGATTTTGTTGACCAGCAGCTGGTACGTGGCTCCAGCATTCTTTAGGCCGAACGGCATGACGTTGTAGCAATAAAGCCCTCTGTCGGTAATGAATGTCGTATGTTCACGATCCGTGGGATGCATGAAAATCTGGTTGTAGCTGGAGTAGGCGTCCATGAAGCTAAGGAGCTCATGGCCAGCTGGTCGATTCTTGGCAGCGGGAGATGCTGAGTTTGTGGCTGATGACGTCCGGGGAGATGCCAAGCATATCGTTGTATGACCAGGTGAAAACTTCCGACTTGGCCCTTAAAAAGGTAATGAAGTCAGCTTGTAGAGACGGACTGAGGGAGGTGCCGATCCGGACCTGCCGATCCTACGCGTCGGAGATGGAGATCATCTCGAGCTCTTCGGCAGGCTGAGCTTGCATCACGTTGTCGTCCCGGGGGTCATGGGGACGTTCGGTCCCTCCCTTGCCGTTCGGCAGGCATGGGCGGGTAACAGTCAGCGTTTCGGGCGGCCTTTGCGCTGTCGCCTGGGTGGCCGATTCCTCCGTGGATGATATGTAGCATATTGAAGCACTTAGTTGGTCCCCTCAAACCTGGCCGATTCCCAAGTGTATAGGGAATTTGAGCAGCAGCATATGTGGTGATAGGATGGCTTTCATTCGGGTGAGGGCGGGTCTGCCGATGATGGCATTGTATGCGGTTGGGCAGTTGACTACTAGGAAATGAGTGTAGATGAAAGCCTTTCTCGGGCCCGAGCCGATGGCGAGGGGAAGCTGGATGCTCCCGATTGGCTCGACCACATCGTCCGAGAAGCTTAGAAGAGGAGTGATCTCCTTGTTGAGGCTCTGATGGTCGATTACGAGACCATTAAAAGCATCGGGGAAGAGAACATTGACTGAACTTCCGGCATCGATGAGGATACGTCCTACGTCGAAATCGGCAATGTATGCTCGAATGATCATGGGATCGGAATGGGGCTGAGGACCTGAGGGTGCCGAATGGCACGCACGTAACTCTTGACGGACCGACGGCTGGAGTCAGCGATCCGTGTTCCGCCGCTGATCATGTTGATCTGCCGATTCCCCCGGTGCTCGCCGATTCAAATACTGGTTTAGCTTGCCCTCGCTGATCAGTTTCTCAACGATCCTTCGGAGGGCGATGCAGGACTCGGTATCGTGGCCATTGTATTGGTGGTATCGGCAGAAGACTCATGTGTCCTTGTCGACTTGCCGAGAGAGCTTCCGGAGGCTTGGCTTTGGAATCATCTAATTTTCGGCCATGAGGACATGTTCATAGGTCGAATTGAGAATGGTGAAGACCTCTGGCGGTCGGTCACTTTTGGTGCTTCAGAAGTTTCGGCCACCCGACTCCTTACTGCATTTGCCTCCGTCCTGCCGACCCTGGAACGAGTCCCTTCGCTTGTCCCCGGTTGTGTAAGGTGCGGGTACAGTGGGTGCCGTTCGGCAGGGAGCCTGATTAGCGGTCTGATGTGGCGGGAAACGGTCATAGGTGGATGCCGAAGGCTAACCTATGTTTGCCGAAGGCATTCCCTTGGAGTTGAAGTGTTCGGCCTTGGCATGAATGGCTGTCTGCTTCATGATTTCGCCGTAGGTGGTCCAATTGCTGTTGTGCACTAGGTAGTGAAATTGGGAGGCTCGGAGGCCACTTTTGAAGGCGCCGAAGGCTGCTCGGTCGTCAGTTTCCGGGCACCGAGAGTACTCGTGGCTGAATCTGGCCTCGTACTCCCGAAGGGGCTCACTGTCTCCTTGCCGAATGGTGTAGAGGTCGTCGGCAGAGTACAGACGATCGGTCTGTATCATAAAATGATTGAGGAAAATTTGTTTTAACTGGTCGAAAGAGTCTACCTTACTTGGTTCCAATCGATAAAACCAATTCAGAGCTGCCCCGGCCAAGGTAGATAGGAACAACATGCATTGGCCTTCATCGGTGTGTCCCTTGCAGCCTAAGGCCGATTGAAATGTATGGATGTGGGTGACGGGGTCCTCCACTCCCGAATAGAATGAGATTCGGGGGGCTTGTACCTCTTTTTCAGGTCGGTAGACTTGGATTCGGCTGGTGAATGGTCCTGGTTGTACCTTTCCCCAGGTTGGGTTTCGGATATGATTATGCTCTTCCTCAATCTGGTTGAATTTTTGAAGGAGGAGGCGGATTGTAGGATTGGTAGGAGGGAGGTTTGTCCCGAAGGGTTCTGCCATTTGGGGGCCGGTTGGGAGGCGACCCTCTTGTCCTTGTGCCTCGTGGCCTGTCGTCGGGCGCCCTTGTCCCCGATCGTTCCTTCTGGCCAATCCGAATGCCGTCGACTGGCCTGAGAGTGTCGTGTCGAGGGAGGTCGGAATGTAATCAGATTCGTCTGTTTCCTCTAGGCCGATCACGTCGTACCTCCGTCGAAGGGGAGATTTTGGTCCGAGCACGTCCAGATGCCGATCGTTAAGTTGTGCCTGGATGGGATCGGTGTTGTCTGCCGCTCTCGACGTCGTGCATTGATTCTGTAGCGACAATCGGAGTAGACTTGGTATTCCTCATGGAGTTCTGCCGAAGTTGGGACAAACAGCCTTCGGCAGGTGGACCACCCTGAGTTGGCTGCTTTCCAGCCCTTTGGTCGTTTGGTAGTTGTTCCAGGCCATCCTGCTACTGAACTGAACGTGACTGTTGCTCGAGAAGCTATTTCTGGGTGTCGTCCAGTTTGAGGAGAGGATATTGTTGTGTTCCTGCATTTTGATCATTTCCCGCTGCAGGGCTTCCATCCTATCTTCCAAGGTGCTCTGCTGACCGGGCATTTCCACTCGGGGTGTGCCGGGCGGCACAGCAGGGTTCTCTAGGCCTGAGAGGACGAGGATGGGACCGTCGGCCGCAAGGGGTGAAGGCGGGTTCATAGTATAGAAGTAAAAGGGAGATATGGGCTGATTGTCAATCGGATTCCCACAAACGGCGCCAATCTGTTCGCACTAAATCTGAACAGATAAGAGTTTAGGCTAACTTACAAGTATGCTGGTGGTTGGATCCAGCTGAAGGTCCGAGCGGAGGCTGGATCCAACTTTAGGAGGGGATACCGGTGTGGTCCTGCCGAAGGTACTCCGATGCCAAAGTTAGGGACTAAGAGCGATTTTATTGACAGTGGAAGCACTAATGAAGTCAGAAAGTCTTACCCCTTGGCTGGGCCAAGGGGCTCTATTTATAGAGAGCATTTGTGATGCTCTTAGCACTTAGTTTCGATGTGGGACTCGTGGGAGTGTCTTCGGAGGTCGACACGTGATTCTGACAGGCTCTGGCAGGAATTCTGAGGCAGTCTGTCAAAATCGGATTGACGTGATGGTTGGTCGATCGGTAGCCGATACCGAAGGTTGGCGTAGGTAGTGATGCTGCGTTACCGACCAACTGAATCGGTACCGAGTGCCGAGAAAACATTCGGTATGGCCCCAGTTGAGCTGGTCTCTTGCTTTGAGGACGTTCCACGTGTCGCGATGTGAGTGGGTGGTCAGATATGGTACAAACATTCATTATGTTGTTCTTAGATTCAAGTTTATTGCTTCACTTTTAGTTGTTGTCAAATTTTCTTTAAGTTAAATTTAATTTCATATTGATTTATTTTATCGCCCTTATCTTTCATCTCGCTCTTGTTTCGTTCTTAATTAAATTTACGTTTATCGTTGCTTCTGTCTTATTTTAAAATTTACTTTCTTTTTGTTTAGTTTAATCTTCCTTTTAATTAAATTTACGTTATTATCATTAAATCCCAAACCATACTTAAAAAATACTCATATGAAACCTAACCATCCTTGACATCAAGGAAGTGAAAGAACCTAGACCAAAAGTTCCTTTCGTCGCCCACCTTGGCCGAAAAGAGGTAAGCTCCAACGAAAGGAACTTTCGGTCATTTTCTTCAAGATGGGTAGGCGTGCCACCACCAAGTCACCAAATGGCCTCGTTGGAAAAGGTTGGGTGGATGAGTTTGCTTCTGACTTCTAAACAAACAATTGATCGGCCAAGTAAGGAATCTCCTCTTGACCCAAGTTCTTTCACTTCCTCATATTCAAAGATGGTTAGGCTTCGTAGGGATTTTTTGTTTTTTATTAAGAATTATGCAAATCAATTAAAGATGCGATTAAATTAAATGACTAGAATGAAAGTGCGATAAAATATATCAAAGCGATAAATAACAAGAACTGAATGAAAAATAACAAGAACGATAAAGAACTGAAATTAAACTTAAAGAAAATTCGATAACAAAAAAATTTAAGTAAACATGAATTTAAAAGCAAGATAATATAAATTGCAAGAAATTATAATTTACACTAAGAAAAGGAAGAACTTGCTATACTAAGTGCTTGAAAATAAAACCTAGTCTAAGAATAAAAAGGTACAAGACGAAAAATAGGTTTGTGTGTTTGATGATGTGTGTCCTTTTATCTTCATATGGAGAGGTATTTATAGGGATATCGTCCACCCATGGGCTGGCCTTTAAATAGCCCGAAGTCAACTTCATTTGGAGGCCTTGATCTTAGCTGAATTTTAGACCTCAACTAAACACCCACTATAGAAGTATTAGATGTTCCGACATCGGAAGTCTGATGTTTTCAACACGACTTCAAAAGTTGGGTTTGGACTTCTAACTTCTTCTTTTGAATTGTGGTGGAACATCGTGTATCTTAAGCTCTAGACTTTGTTGAAGATTAAACACGGTGAGTGCATGATGACCCTTATGTTTGGCATTCTTGTTTTGATTTGGATGTTAGGCACCTTTAGCCACCAATTTGCATTTTTTCCTAATGGTTTCCAAGCCACATGGTCGAATTTCGACCAAGCTCAAACATTGCCCCTTCCATTCTTTTAGCCTGAAGTTGGTGGAAAGGTAGATAAATCGGAAATTAAGACCTTTGAATTTCTCAATGATGGTTGTGACTTGGAATTGCTTGACCCTGACTTGGAGTAAGGTTCCAACTCAACTTGGAGTTGCTCAACCCCGACTTGGAGTTTGGATCCCACCTCGACTTGGAGTTGAGTTCTACCTCGACTAGTTGGGTTCCGCTTACACTTGGAGTTAGGTTTCACCTAGACTTAGGGTTGGCTTAGAGTTGGGTTGCCCCCAGACTTGAAGTTAGGTTCCACCTCGACTTGGAGTCGACCCTAACTTGGAGTTGGGTTCCATCTCGACTCCACGACTTTGAGTTGCTCGAGCCCGTCTTGGAGAGTTGCTTGAGCTTGACTTGGAGTTGGGTTCCACCTCCACTTAGTGTTAGCTTGGAGTTGGGTTCCACCTCGACTTGAGGTTGGCTTGGAGTTGGGTTCCATCTCGACTTGGAGTTACTTGACCCCAACTTGGGGTTGCTCGACCTTGACTTGGAGTTGCTTGACACTGACTTGGGGTTGGGTTCCATGATCCTGACTTGGAGTTGCTCAACTCCGACTTGGGGTTGGCTTGGAGTTGGGTTCCACCTCAACTTGGAGTTACTTCACCTTGACTTGGAGGTACTCGACCTTGACTTGGAGTTGCTTGACCCCGACTTTAAGTCGCTCAACCCCGACTTGGAGTTGTTTGACCCCGACTTCAAGTCAAAACCTGACTTATTGGAGGGCTTGATCCCGACTAATCGAAGGACTTGATATGGGCTAATTGGAGGCCTTGATCTTCATTGATCGGAGGCCTTGATTTTGATGACCCCTAGGTATGGCCTTTTTGTTTCGAATTGGCTGTTAGGCACCTTGACCCACCAATTTGTATTTTCGACCATGCTCAAACAACTATATTGAGAGTGAATTACCATGTTCTCTACAACATGGTAAGGATTTTTTGCCTATGCTTCTCTCGCCTTTTATTTTAGTTGAATAGATTATCAAAGAACTGATATTTGATTGGAATCCCAGTAGAAAGATAGCACAGATGGACCTTCTTTTTCTTTTAAATTGTATGGGCTCTTCATAAACTACATGTAGTGGTTATCACATTTTTCTATGTCTTATCATGTATCAATTTGACTTCGTTTTTGTAAAGGTAGCACTTCCCACTAGTATTGCATCACATCTTATTGACATTTAAATTATGTAATTTCCATATGGGATTAACTGCTTTACTTATAAAACCTTGGTTTGTAGTAGTCACCATGATTTTTTTGTAAATGAATAGAAGGGGAGTGTAATGTAGTTAGTATTATGTTTTTTTGGGGTTGCAAACCATCAATGTTCCTTTTCTTAGACTACTTCCACCTATTTGTCTTTCCATGGCAAAGGGGGCCTGAAAAAAAACAAAAACAAAAACCCCCACACCTAGCAAATATAGCCCAGGCAAGAGTGGGCTTCATCAAAACTGGGCAAGCCCAAAGGCAAGAACAGACCATGCTATTGCCTGAAGGCGTTTTGGCCAGGCTGGCGTCAGCGAAGAAGATATTTCTTTTTATTGTTAGCGGATGCACTACACTCGAGGCTCGTGTAGATCCCACCCAGCCAAAAGAGCCCAACGGTCGGCTGCGAGCTCTCTGACGGTTTGGTTTATCATAATTCTAAACATTTAACCTTTAAAATTACTTCCAACATTAAAGACTCTTTATGTTATAGGGATGAGTGACTGACAATTGTCTCTCTCAGTGTTGACTATTCAAAGGCACTATTGGAGATAAGGGAACTCTATTCGAATGCTCTCTTCCATGTGATCAATGCTGATAAATTCTGCAATGTGTTATTAGGACAACTATGGATCCATACATATGGCTCAAGAATCGGTCGATACCAACCCATTTAATAAGGAAGCAGTATGTTAATATAATGCTAAGTTGATAAGGCAATTGAAGAAATTAAACCACCATAGGCAGAAGCACCTAAATCCTCAAAATGAATTTGAGCATGTGCATGGAAAGTCATCCTCAAACAGTGAACAATTCATGACTTCAAAGACATCCAAGTCGAAGATAATTGTCAAGACCTCAAAAGAGGATAAATAAAAAAGAGGCTGATCAAAAGGTATCAGGTTCGTTAAAATATACAATGGAGTCATTGATGATAGGCTACAGCCAGCCTCTTTGGAAGATCAATAAGTCCATTCTATGGGGCAATATGGACATTTCGACCATTTTAGTGAAAAATGATAGCTTAAACAAGAGACTAGTCATTCATAAGAAGGCATCCCCACCAGAAAAATCATCTGATCCACTGAAAATAAAAATCATAGGGCAAAATCAAAAGCAAAGCAATGTCGACCTCACAATTCAACACGCAAATGACATACTCAAAGCATCTCTTTCGAAGCCACATCTAGAAGTTTATGCACCTAAAACTCTCATTGATATGGAAACCAATATTTAGAGAAGCTGAGGTGAATACAAAGTTGCTTCGCGTCTTAGCATTCAAATGCCCAAGGGGCAAAAAGCCATCTTGCATTTCAGTCTTTCAACGGTTGCATGACCCTTCTCATTCTCAATAATTTCAGTAGGGGGAATTCATTTACACAATTCAATCTACTTCACCTAAATTTGAAGAAAGAGGTCAAGTCATTGTAGCTTATATTAGGTCTGTATAATTTGTTATTGGGTCAACCTATGCTGGTAGTGGGCCATTAATATGTCTGTGTAGTTTGCAAGTTGATTTCACAATGCAAGTAATATCTCTACTGTTGGGAAAGATGACAAAAAATCAAAGAGCCAATAAATAAATATGGCACTCCTAGGATCTGACTTCTCTCAGCCTTGTGTAAATAAAATTTCTCTCAGCCTTGTGTAAATAAAATGGACAAAAATAACACTCTATCTTCCACTAAAAAAAATAATGGGAATACAATAATAATAATAATCTCACCAAACACCGGTGGCTAAACTCTCTCTTGGTTTTTCTCTCAAGATGATTTTCTCTCTCACACAAGTGAGGTTTTCTTATCTCTCAAAACTCTCTATGTTTTGGTTTTTGTAAGGGATGCATTTAACTGAAAGAATGCAATTTCTTTTATAGGCAAACGTTCCTAACTAATTGGTGGTTGTGCATGAAAGAGAATTCTTCTCATTTTCTTCAAAATTTCCCGTCCTTTCTTTCATTTTATTTTAATATTTATTTCCTTCTTTTTCTCTCCTCCACTAACGAGGGAAACCCATCAATCTCCCCTTCCCGACTTAGGTGGAGGGCTCTAGCAGTCTAGCTGCTCCTCTGCAAAATTCATACTTGTCCTTAGGTAAGGACTTGGTCATCATATCTGAACTATTGTCATAAGTATGGATTTTCTCAAGCTGTAATTGCTTAGACTCCAACACATCACGTATCCAGTGATATCTCACATCAATGTGCTTCGACCTCGAGTGAAAACTCGGATTCTTGCTCATGTGGATCGCACTCTGACTATCACAATGCAAAATGTATTTATGCTGCTCTTGCCCTAATTCTTGTAGGAATCGCTTCATCCATAGCATTTCTTTGCATGCTTCAGTAGCTGCAATAAACTCTGCCTTTGTAGCTGATAGAGCAACACATTTCTGTAACTTTGATTGCCATGAAACTGCTCCCCCTAAAAATGTAATCAGGTATCCTGAAGTAGATTTTCTGGAATCAAGATCTCCTGCCATGTCTGCATCTGTGTAGCCAATCAATTCAGGTTTTCCACCTCCAAAGCATAAACTCATTTTGGAGGTTTCCCTGAGATATCTGAGAATCCACTTCACAGTATTCCAATGCTCTCTGCCTGGTTTAGACAAGAATCTGCTTACAACACCAACTGCGTGGGTTATCTCTGGCCTCGTGCAAATCATTGCATACATCAGACTACCAACAGCTGAGGAATATGGCACCATAGCCATGTTTTCTTTTTCTTTCTCACATGTAGGACTCTACTTTGAACTAAGCTTGAAGTGACTAGGAAATGGAGTAGAAACTGGTTTTGCTTTATCCATGTTAAACTGCTTTAGTTCCTTCTCGATATAACTTTCTTGTGATAACTTCAACCAATTTTTTCTATCACAGGATATACTCATATTGAGGATTCGTTTTGCGGGTCCTAAGTCTTTCATAGCAAAAGACTTGCTCAACTCTTTCTTCAGCTTGCTAATCTTGTCATTGTTTTGTCCTACGATCAACATGTCATCGACACAGACAAGAAGTATGATGAATTCACCATCATCAAATCTTTTCACAAATACACAATGGTCTGAAGTAGTCCTCCGATATCTGTGTTCAATCATGAAGGAATCAAACTTCTTGTACCATTGTCGAGGTGCCTGCTTAAGTCCGTATAAGCTCTTCTTCAGTCGACATACCAAATCTTCTTTTCCTTTGACTTTGAAACCTTCTGGCTGCTCCATGTAGATTTCTTCTTCAAGATCTCCGTGAAGAAAAGCTGTCTTCACATCTAGCTGTTCAATCTAGAGATTCAGGCTTGCAGCCAAACCGAGTACAACCCGTATGGATGACATCTTCATTATGAGTGAGAAAATCTCTTCAAAGTCAATTCCTTTCTTCTGACTAAAACCTTTCACAACTAGCCTTGCCTTAAATCTGGGCTTAGAGTTGTTTTCTTCCGTCTTTAGTCGATACACCCATTTGTTCTTGAGTGCTCTTCTACCTTTTGGTAAGTTCACCTGATCATATGTGTGGTTCTCATGCAGAGATTGCATCTCTTCATGCCTGGCTTTCAACCACTCATCTTGTTGATCAGGAGTCAATGCTTCTTCATAGCATTCTGGTTCTCCCCCGTCTGCTAGGAGAACGTAATCATTTGAAGAATACCTACTCGGAGGTCTTCGTACCCTGATCGATCTTCTTGGTTGGAATTCAGCCGCTGGCTCTTCATGGACTTGTGCTTCTAGCCCCTCATCCGCTGCATCATCTATTATACCATCAATTGTATGGCCATCACTCATGTCATCATCAAATGGTTCATTTATAATAGGATCACTAGCTAGATCATCAGTATCATTGGATTCATCTCGCTCGTCATTATGCTCCAATGGAGAAGGAACTGGATCTAAGTTAGCTGGATATTCTCTAGGATTATCAGGTTTATCACCTCTTCGAATGTCTTCAATGTTCTGATCTTCAAAGAAGACAACATCTCTACTTCTAATAATCTTTCTAGCTATAGGATCCCATAACCTATAACCGAATTCTTCATTCCCATATCCCACGAAGATACATTCTTTCGACTTCGCGTCGAGCTTTAGGAATATGAACAAAAGCTCTACAACCAAAAACTTTCAGATGATTGTAGGAAACATCTTTTCCCGACCAGAACTTTTTCGGGACATCATCATTCAAAGGTGCTGAAGGAGAAAGGTTGATTAGATCAACCGCAATCATCAAGGCTTCACCCCAAAAGCTTTTGAGCAGCTTGGCATGAGATAACATTGTTCTTATTCTTTCAACAATAGTTCTGTTCATTCTCTCAGCTATGCCATTATGCTGAGGAGTCTTCGGAACAGATCGTTCATACCTGATTCAATTCCTTCTACAGTAGTTTCTAAACGCCCCCATATATTCTCCTTCGTTATCGGTGCGAATACATTTCAAGCTTCTACCAGTCTCTCGTTCAACGCTAGCATGAAATTGCTTGAAAACTTCATACACTTGATCTTTTGTTCTAAGTGCATAAGCCCATACCTTCCTGGAATGATCGTCAATGAAGGTAACAAAATATATTGCACCACCAAGAGTACTAGTGGTCATAGGACCACAAACATCAGAATACACAATATCCAATACATTGGGTTTTCTTTGTGCATGACCATGTTGAAATGAAGCTCTATGTTGCTTTCCATCCAAGCAATGCGTGCATGATTTTAGAGGCATGCCTTTCTTCATCCTAGTCAGTGCCTCTCTTTTGGCTAGAATTTGCAGCCCTTTCTCGCTCATATGACCGAGCCACTTATGCCATAGCTCGATTGAGTCTTCTGCGAGAGCATTTAGGTACCCATTACTGACTTTTGCATGTGTCATGTATAGGGTGTTCTCCTTCTTCCCTCGTGCTAGGACAAGAGAGTTCTTGCTGAGTTTCCATTTCCTTTTAGCAAAGACATTGGTGTATCCTTCATCGTCAAGTAATCCAGTGGAGATTAGATTGAGATGCATGTCTAGAACATGTCTCACATCCTTGAGGACCAAGTGACAACTTGTGTTGGTTTCAAGGGAAATATCTCATCTTCCCACGATCTTGGACAATTTGTCATTTCCCATCCTCACATTACCAAAATCTCCATTGGTGTAAGATGTAAAGAAGTCCCTCTGTGAGGTGACATGAAACGATGCACCAGAATCCACTATCCAGCATGTATCTTGAGAGGAAAAATTAACAAAACCATCACCACATAGAATAATTACCTCATTTCCACCAGAAGTAGTTGCGGTCGTGTGCTTGGCATTACTCTTTTCTTTACCTCTATCTTGCTCTCGTTTAAACAACCTGCACTCTCTCTTCATATGGCCTATCCCGCCACAATGGTAACATTCTAGGTCATTTCTTGTCCTGGACCTTCCTCTCGAGCCATCTCTTGGCCTGCCCTTTGACTTGTCTCGCCTGTGGAATTTTCTATTGTTAGTTCTTCCACGATACTCTGAGACGAGGGCTTCTGACTCGGCTACAACACCTTGTTCTTTCCTCCTTGCTTATTCATTGAACATGCTATCTTTAACTATGTCCTAAAGATAAAGATGCCAAGTCATGACTCATGACAGCTCATTTAGTTTGTTATGTTGTTATGTTTGTTACAGCAGGTTGTTAGGGAAAGTTTAGTACAACCTTGGTTATATATATACACCTCAAATGTAAATGTAATTAAGTAAGAAAAGTTAGTAAATGAGAAGAGGATTATTCAGTAAAACTATTCTTCTGTTTTCCTTTGTTTCTCTGGTTTCTTTGTTTCATCATGGTATCAATCGCCACTGCCTCACGGCACTCTTCGATCCTAGTCTCTTCCGCTTCTGTGCTCCGATCTCTGGTTTGATCTCTGATCTGTAAGCAATTGACTGCTGCTGTTCTTTTTCTTGATTCTTTGTCTCCTTCATCTCTGATGGCGTCACCTCTTGAATCCTCTTCTCCGATTCCGTCTATCCCCACTCAGAATCCCAATTCTTCCTTTTCAAACCTTAATTCGCCCCAAACCTACACTTCTCTTACGATTCAAATCATCGGTAGCATGGTGCCGATCAAGCTCAAGCGTTCGAATTAACTGCCTTGGTGTGCTCTGTTTGCCCCAATTCTTCGTCGCTACAAGCTTCTTGGACTTATTGATGGAACTGAGCCTTGTCCGGTGCCATTTTTACCAGATCGATCACTCAATCCTACTTACGAGAGTTGGTATGAGAAGGATCAGAATCTTCTCATCTGGTTCAATTCAACACTCTCTGAGGAAGTCATTTCGTTTACTGTTGGTGTTTCTTCGTCCAGAGATCTGTGGCTCAAACTTGAGCAGCGCTTTGGTGGTGTTTCTGATGCTCATATTCATCAGCTTCGTTCTCGTCTTCAAAGTATTCAAAAAGGCTCCCAAACAATGGCTGATTATCTGCAACAGATCAAGGAAATCTCTGATTCCCTCACTGCAGCCGGAGCTTCGGTTTCGGATCGCGATCTTATTGCTGCTACACTGACTGGGCTTCCTGATGCGTTTGAATCATTCATTGATTCTATCATGCTCCGTCTCTCTTCAACATCTCTTGATGAATTACATGGTTTATTACTCACAAAGGAGCTTTCCATGACTCGAAGGAAGAAAATTGCCTCCTCTGCAACTACTGAACCGTTTCATGCTCTCTTGGCCCAAGTCTCACCGCATCTTCTTCCTACACCACCTCAGGCATTTGCTGCTCAACATCCACCGCTTCAAAACTCTTTTCGATATAATTCCAATCGTGGCAGGAACAATCAATTTTCCAACAATCGGGGCAACTATGGCAATAATCGGGGCAACTACAATTCTGGCTCTCATCGGGGCAACCACAACTCTGGCTTCCCTTCTGGTTTCAATCGTGGTCATAATTCCAACTCTCGTGGTTCCTTTTCCTCTGGTGCTCGTATTCCTTGCCAGATCTGTGGAAATACAAGTCATGAGGCCATAGACTGCTATGATCGCATGAATCCTGCAATTTCTGGTAAAATCCCTCCCACCAAGCTTGCTGCAATGTGTGCGCACTATACATCAAAGCCCTCTCCTTCCTGGCTCATTGACTCTGGCGCAACTTCTCACATTACCAATGACATCTCCAACATATCTTCTTCATCTCCTTACACCGGTGAAGACAAAGTCTATATTGGTGATGGTAAAGGTCTGTCCATCAACCATATTGGTTCCTCTTTGTTACATACTCCCAGTACTTCCTTTAAATTGAAAAATGTACTTCATGTTCCTCAAATGAAGCACAACTTGTCTGCTTTTCAATTTGTTAAAGACAATTCATGTTCATTGACACTTGATTCTGATGGATCCCTTGTCAAGGATCGTTTTACGGGGAAGATGCTTTTGTGGGGACCAGTTAGAGATGGATCCTATCCTTTGCAAAGCTCTCCTTCACCTGGTACTGCTTCTTCAATTTCTTCTTCAGCATTTGTCAGTATTAAAGCTCCAGTGCAGATTTGGCATAGTAGATTGGGTCATCCCTCCTCCAATATTTTTCGAAAAGTGATTTCTGGTAATAAGCTTGCACTGCAAGGTAAATCCTCCGTTGATTTCTTCTGTTCGGATTGTGCTATAGCTAAAAATCATAAACTGCCTTTTCACCCTGCTGGTTCATCTACTTCCCATAGTCTAGCTTTACTTCATTGTGATGTATGGGGACCTGCCCCTGTAACTTCTGTGAGTGGTTTTCAGTATTACCTGCTGTTAGTAGATGATTACACCCGATATAGCTGGTTCTTTCCTTTGAGAAGAAAATCTGAGGTGTATTCTACCTTTGTAACTTTCAAGACATACGTGGAAAAATCTGTTGGTAATCAAATAAAGGCTACCCGTTCTGACTTAGGGGGTGAATTCACTAGTGCTTCTTTTCAGTCTTATCTTAATTTGCATGGTATTTCTCATCAATTCAGTTGCCCACATACACCTGAACAGAATGGTTGTGCAGAACGAAAGCATAGGCATCTTGTCGAAACAGCCAGAACATTGTTAGTGGCTTCTAATGTTCCTAAAGTCTATTGGGTTGAAGCTCTATCCATTGCTACTTACTTGATCAACAGGTTGCCCATTTCTAGTCTTGCGCAATCTCCATGGGAGTTTTTATTTCATACATTACCAGATTATACTAGGCTAAAGATTTTTGGATGTAGTTGTTACCCCTGGTTAAAACCTTATGTTTCCTCTAAACTTGATGGCAAGAGCAAGCAGTGTGTTTTCCTTGGATATAGTTTACAGCATAAGGGTTATAGGTGCTTAGACATGATCACTGACAGAGTCTATATCTCTCGACATGTCTTATTTGATGAGAAGTCGTTTCCCTTTACTGCCAAGTCCACATCCCCCTCTGATTCTATCCCTACTTTATCTCCTGTTATTGACCTACACTTTCCCATTCCCAACTCACACTCTGTCTTACCAAGTTCTCCCTCCATCCATCCTTCTTCACATACTCCTAATACTAGTGAATTTGTATCACCACACAATTTCAGCCCTTTGCAATCTCACTCCTCTTCTCCATCTTTACCAGGTCAAAATATTCATCCTATGGTTACTAGATCAAAGAATGGCATTTTTAAGCCTAAAGCTTATACTGCTACCAAACACCCTTTATCATCTTCTCTTGATTATGTACCAACAACCTATCATCAGGCCTCTAAATTTGCTGCGTGGAGATCAGCCATGCAAGCTGAATTTAATGCCCTCCAATCAACTGGAACATGGATCTTGGTTCCTTCTTCTTCATCCCAGAATGTTGTAGGCTGTAAATGGGTATTTAGAATCAAGAAAAAGCCTGATGGGACCATTGACAGGTATAAAGCTCGGCTCGTTGCCAAGGGATTTCATCAAAAAGAGGGCTTGGACTATCAGGAAACCTTTAGTCCTGTGGCAAAGCCTGTCACTATCAGAATTTTGTTAACTTTTGCTGTGCAATTCAATTGGTTTCTGCATCAACTTGATATTAGTAATGCCTTCCTTCATGGTGATTTAAAAAAAGAAGTATTCATGCATCAGCCACCTGGCTTCAGTGATCCAAACTTTCGAATCATGTGTGTCAACTCAAAAAGTCCTTGTATGGCCTCAAACAGGCTCCCAGGGCCTGGTTTGATAAATTGTTTCAGGCTCTCAAGTCTCTTGGTTTCACTCAATCATCTTCTGACGCATCCCTCTTTGTTCTCAAGGTTCCAGTTCTTGGTATTGTCCTTGTCTATGTGGATGACATCTTGGTCAATTGTCCAGATTCATCAGTGTGCAATCTTTTCATCAAGAAACTGAGCTCTTTGTTTCCTATAAAGGACTAGGGTCCCTTACATTATTTCTTGGGTCTTGAAGTTCAACGCACCAACGAGGGACTCTTTCTCCATCAAGGTAAATATCTGATGGACTTGTTACAAAAGACAAAAATGGAGGGTGCTAAGCCTTGTTCTACACCTCTTGGAACTACCAAACTGGATCATGGTGGTACACATTTGGAAAATCCCACAGAGTATAGATCCATTGTGGGAGGCCTACAGTATTTAACTTGGACTCGGCCTGATATCTCATTTGCAGTTAATCAAGTCTGCCAATTCATGCATGCTCCAACTGATTCACATATGCAGGTAGCCAAGCGAATACTCAGATTTCTCAAAGGTACACCTTCACATGGTATATGGTTTCATAAAGGTCCTCTCACTCTATCCGCCTACTCTGATGTCGACTGGGCTGGCTGCACTTTTGATAGGAGATTCACGGGTGGATTTTGTGTGTTTCTTGGCTCCAACTTAGCGAGCTGGAGTGCTAAGAAGCAGCCTACAGTCGCTCGTTCGTTTACTGAAGCTGAATATCGATCCCTGGCTCACACTGCTGCTGAAGTTACATGGATCTGCAAAGTCTTTCGAGATTTTGGTTTCTCCTCCTCTGTTAAACCTACCATTTGGTGTGATAACATTTTTGCTATCTCCCTTGCATCAAACCCTGTTTTTCATGCCAGAACCAAACATGTGGAAATTGATTATCATTATATCCGAGAGCTGGTTCTTGCAAATCTGGTTACAGTTCAGTATGTTTGCAGCCAAGACCAGATAGCTGATATTCATACTAAATCTTTGTCTAAGAATCGGTTCCTCTTTCTTCAATCCAAGCTTTCTCTTGGTACTCCTAGTCTTTCCAAGCTCAGCTTGAGGGGGTGTAAAGATAAAGATGCCAAGTCATGACTCATGACAGCTCATTTTGTTTGTTACGCTGTTATGTTTGTTACAGCAGGTTATTAGGGAAAGTTTAGTACAGCCTTGGTTATATATATACACCTCAAATGTAAATGTAATTAAGTAAGAAAAGTTAGTAAATGAGAAGAGGATTATTCAGTAAAACTATTCTTCTGTTTTCCTTTGTTTCTCTGGTTTCTTTGTTTCATCATGTCCAATGTAAGAACACCTTGAGGAGCTGAATTGCTTAAGGATACTACTAGTGTATCCCAGCTATCAGGCAAAGAGCTGAGTAACACTAGTGCTTGTAACTCATCATCAAGCACCATCTTCATATTCGTCAACAGGTTGATCAAACCTTGGAAGTCACTGAGATGCTCGATAACACTTCGACCATCTCTGTACATAAGGTTTACCAACCGTCGGATAACCGATGCTTTATTTTGAGCGGTCTTCCGCTCATACATGGACGACAATTTTGTCCATAATTTGTATGCATCCGTCTCTTATGCCACATGGTGGAACACACTTTGATCCACCTGTCGGATTTGTCCGATAGCTTTTCTATTCAGGATGCTCCATGCATCGTCTAACTTCCCTTCTGGTTTTTGTCCCAACAATTGAAGGGACTCATACAAATCCTTGCAGTAAAGGATGTCCTCCATTCTTGGCTTCCAAATGGAGTAATTGGATGCAGTCAATTTTAACATTGTTGCTGATGATGATGATGATGGCGATGACTCCTCCATCTTAAATTACACAAGAATATAATTTTTGAGCCGAAGCTCTGATACCACTTGTTGGGAAAGATGACAAAAAATTAAAGAGCCAATGAATAAATATGGCACTCACAGGATCTGACTTCTCCCAGCCTTGTGTAAATAAAATGGGTAAAATAACACTCTATCTTCCACTAAGAAAAATAATGGGAATACAATAATAATAATAATCTCACCAAACACCGGTGACTAAACTCTCTCTTGGTTTTTCTCTCAAGAGGATTTTCTCTCTCACACAAGTGAGGTTTTCTTATCTCTCAAAACTCTCTATGTTTGGTTTTTGTAAGGGAAGCATTTAACTGAAAGAATGCAATTGCTTTTATAGGCAAACGTTCCTAACTAATTGGTGGTCATGCATGAAAGAGAATTCTTCTCATTTTCTCTTCCATTCATTTTCTTCAAAATTTCCCGTCCTTTCTTTCATTTTATTTTAATATTTATTTCCTTCTTTTTCTCTCCTCCACTAACGAGGGAAACCCATCATCTACAACCAACCTGCAAAGGGACTCATAAACCTACACCGATACTTAGTTGTGGCAAACTGAGAGACTGCAAGTGAGATTTATAAGTAACTCCTCCCTGCAAAGCAACCCTAAACCCAAAAGGCTACTTAATTTTGGCATAGTGAGAGTGATTATAATTTATCACAGTGAGAGTAACAATGTGCCTCCATTTGTGTATAAAAGACTATTGATTCTATTCCTTGAGACCAAAACAAGGTCTCTTTATTATTTTCTTATATTATTTTTATAATTATATTTTTGTTCTAACACATTTTTTGCTTGTTTTTCTCAATCTCTATAGATGTGGAGATCAACACGAATAGCCAAAGGTCCATGATTTGTAAGCTTGCCAACTACGTGGATAAAAATTTAAAGAAGCAATATAACTGTACTTTGAAAGTGATCACAGATGTCTATGTACGGGAGAAATCGGGCACGGAGACAGTAACATTCAAACGCTTAGGAGCAAAAGCCATCTCGCATTTCAGTCTTTCGAAGTTTGGAGGACCCTTCCCATTGTCAACAAGGGAAGGTGCATAAAAATATAATATGGAAGATCAAGAGTCAATTGCACTAGGAGGAATTCATTTACACTATTCAACCAGCTCCATCAGAACTGGATCAAGGAGGTTAAGGCATTATTGATGGTTTCCAAGAAATAAATCTTGGTACACGGGACGACCTAAAGCCAATATTTGCCAGTGTCTCGCTAACACTTCAAGAGTTGGAAGATTAGACACGAACTGTTCACATAGATTTTGCATAAAGTTATCAAAACATGCATTGTTTAGTCATATAAGTGGCAGTTCACAGACTAGGGATACCTGATCAAACTAAGGGGTAAAGCAAGTCCGACACTGTTTTCGGCAAGAGTTAACAGTCCAAATAGAGCTGAAAACTTCAAGCCACTACTACAATTTAGTTAATCAACGACTCAAAATAGACGATGGTGCACCTTAAAACCGTAGTCATATTTTAAAAAACGACGGTTTTGTAAACGTCGTAGTATATTATCTTATACGCTACTAAAGTGAAGTTGCGCTGGGTTGATTTTTAAAACACGGCACTTGTGAATTAACAAAAGTCGTCTTTTAAAACTTGCTAAACAAAAAGGACCACTTAACCTCGACCTAAAATTCAGATTTCTCCGTATCTATGTGAAAACGTTATCTCTCCCTTCCTTGAAACCTCCTGAGGAGCTCTTCTCTCTCCTTCCTTGAAACCCTACTGAGCTCTCTGAAACACTCCCCCTCTCACCTTTCTACACCTCATACGTACCTACCAGCCATTGACGTCGCGACGCCATCGAACGCAGCAACGCATGCCGTTGTCTTCTTCGCATCAGTCATCAGCAGCCGTCATTGACGCTATCTTCATCCCAGACTTCGTCGACACTCGCAAACTAACGCAGGTCGACACCACCACCAAGAAGACATACAACCTCTTTGACAGAAAAGAAATCAGAGAGACAGGCGAAGAGGTGATGGTCATCGTCACAGTCAACGACGACAATGTCCTTAAAAACAGATCTAGAGACCTGGCGAGAGGAGGAATGCCTAAAACATCAGATCTGCCATCGAACTTCAGGCGACAGATCAGAGAGACAAAGGAGAAGATGAGCTGGTCTTCGATGTCATAGGCGTCATGAGGGTCGTCGTCAGTTTCTGGGTCTCGTTCACAAACTTAGCAGAAAACGACATAAGGAATAATCACAACCAGTGTTGACGACATATTAATGAATTTTGAGTCAATGCTTGCTTCATATGGATTCTTTACTGCTCTGTTTTGTTCTTAGTATATAGGGTTACATTGCATTTTCATTCTCTTTCATTTCTGTTGTAAAATTACTTTAAATAATTTATCTATTTACTCTTCTTTTGGTATTCTGTGCGTGTTTGGGGATTTTTAGCACATTCAGGTGAGCAAACATATGTAAGGAAGGCCTCTGGATAATTTGGAGTTCATGTGATGGATGAAGCATTATTGTGATTCGGTCAATGGAGGGGTCATTAACAAGTAAGTATTTCCACGGGTATCAGTCTTCACCTCAAAAAGATATGTGTGGATTAAATTATAATGATATCCTTTGCTATTGTCTAGTTATTTTTCCTTTGTAATCCTTTGGCTTTGCTCTTTTTCGTATGTATTTTGTTTTCCAGACTTGTATAGTGTTGAACTTAACAATATGCCAAATGAGTGCATGTAATTTAATGTGAAAAAGAGAGGGAATTATATGCTGTCACATTTTCTGTGTTTCTATCCATGCCTTTAACCAACATGAAGGCCAGTAAATGGTCTTTGGTGTTAAAACTGGATATTGTCAATGAACTGCTAAATCAAGGTAAATATTCGTACGGCCCTATTATGCCAAAGAACTCTTCATATTGGTGTTTTTGCAGAAACAAATTTTTGGTTAATGGATTGAAAGTTATGATGGGAAGCTTCTTAGCTGGAAACACCGAGGCTGGGACTTATGATGAAGAAAAGGTAAATTATTTTTTGTTTATTGAACTCCCCCAATCTTTTGAGTTTTGTCAACAGAAGATTCTGGCAATGGCATAAATTGAATTGATTATTGGATATGCATGATATATAAAAAATAAAAATAAAATCTTTAGATTTATTTGGTCTGCTCAAGGCTCAAACCATATGGTAATTTACAGGTTGGAGAAGATATAGTTAAAAGAGCTCTTAGTTGCCAAGAATGCTGGTGTAAATGGAAGTGTTGTCAGTGAGAAGGTATTCTTTCGTTTGGCTTTATGTATTATGTTACTATCTGATTTCTATGTTTGTTTAATAATAAGTTGAAGTCTCCTTTTCCAGTTGTTGCAATTCTGTGAGGTTGAATGTGCATGTGGGCTGCAATTATGTTTTAAATGCTTATCTAAAAGTGCACTCCCCTTGTTCATGCAGAGTGTGGGAACTATGGTGTCAGAAGTGCCAAGATGAATCAGAGACTGTTAATTATATTGCAGTCAATACAAAACCTAGGGTGAAAAAAATATGCTCGTTGGGCTGAAACCCAAGTTAAAGTTGGAGCTAAAAAAAAAACTACGATTCATTTCGTTCCTCAAAAAGGGTACGTTAGCAATCTAGTTCCTGAAAAACAAATATTCAGTCACAAATCCTTACCTGAAATCAAAAAGGATGAAATACATTCAGTTTGATCCCTCTACATGGTTCATAGGAAATCTAGCCCAAAATCTAGGTGTAGCGGTAAAATATCATAAATTTATTTTTGTCCACAAATGGTATTAGTATGTGGTTAAAATACCGTATGATACACAAGAATTCCAACTACACAAAAAAATCCTACTAATTCTTATTCCAAGAAAAAATATTCTTAGTGGACAAGCCGCATTAGAAGAGCAAGAAATATTCAAATAAAGTCCTACCTACGTGTTGTTGGTAGATAAACCACATGACTAGAATGCTTATTGGAAGAAAACAAAATAAATAGCTCATGCTTATTTTTTTAACAAATGAGCCAATCTATCATGGCTAGCTATAGAAAGAAACCAGAGCATTGATCAGTTGATGAATTTCTCTATGTTGAGCCTTCATAGAGAGTCGAGTGCTCCCAATATTTGGAAGTAGATTTTCCTTGGCATCAATACTTGATTGTTAAAGCTTTTCGCTCATTTATTTCAATGCTCCGGAGAGACCTCCAAAAGTTGAAGGGCCTAGTGAATCTCTGAAAGATGCATAAAAAGTTGTACTGATCTACTTGTTGAACCCTATTTTTTTTATAAAGAACATATATATGTATATATATTTATATATAAATGATCAAATTAAATAAAAGAAAACAAGAAAGTGATGTGGCATTTACCAGGTTTCTGGTGGCACAGCAGGAGTTAGATGCATATCTCTAAGGAAAATAACCCAGTTTTAGAAAAATATAAAATAAAGGTGATGTGGCAATCACCTTTGATTGAGCATTGATCTCATCCAATGTCCTACGATCCAACTTTGAAGTCAAGGCTAACAAGGCAACTGTGAAAGTCACTAACCTCAGCTAAAGGGAGCTTCGTCAAAGAACTCCATACTAAAGTCATCCCACTGGTAGCTGATGAGGCTACATCCACATCAACCAAAGCCGCTGAGGACAAAAGTCACAGAGTCATCAAATCCATAAAATCTACAGCTTCTAAAGCATGCGATACTACTCAAATCATGATTTGGTTAATGCCAATCACCCTAACCACCCCAGAGTCTTTGATAGTAACTTATATTAAAGAAGATGAGATTCAACCAAAACAAAACGCCCAAATCCTCTACTCACCACAACAAACTTCAACTACAAGGCTTTCACAAATCGCCAAAGAAAACATCACTTATTTCTCATTACAAGTATTCTATTCATGTACATATAGTTAAACAAATATTTCAATAAATCTAGCCCCTTTATATTACTTAGTAGAGACACAATAGTTATATAACGCATTGTATTAATTTAATGTTAAACCAAATACCGGGCCCATTTTCATGTTATTGTGCTTGTTTCATGTTATTGGCCTAACTATTGAGCCTGTTTTCGAGTTATTAAGCCAAACTATTGTTAGTGTCATATTTGTAAACTGGCATTTCCTAGCCTAAGCTTCTTTTATATGTAGGCACTAGGATGTTTTAGATTGAGTCTTGAGTGAGGTTATGAAGTTGGTAAAGAAAGAGAGATGCAAATAGAAGATTGAAGATGTTCATATTCGACCATTCATCATCAAACAAGGCTTCATAAGAATTTAGGAAAGGTAAGTGAGACTAAGATACCATGCATGCATTTCTAGGTGGTTAATATCATTTAGAAGAAGCTAGAAATGCTTTTAAATTGCATTCAAGCATTCACAATGGTTTTGATTTTGGAAGAATCAAGATTGCATTAAGTTTATGTTGATTTATGTTCACCATCGCTCGATCGGACTCATTGGCGATTGAGCGGGTAAAATGTATGCGTCTTGTGCTCGAGTGGCTAGGATGCGTGCTCAAGTCGACATTGGGTTTTCCTGTTTCCCTTTTTTTTAATTTTTTTTTAATTTCACATGCTTTGCTAGGAATCTTTTTCATTTTCTTATTGGGTCTTTTTACCTCTTCCTGGTGCTAACCTAAACAAGTTTTAAACTTTATAAATACCTTGTTTTGGTAGAAGTAAAATTTACAATTCACATATTCTAAAATTGGCATTTTTGCATCAAACCTTAATTTTTGAGTGAGTTAATTTGTTATGAACTCTTGAGAGTTTTCATCAACATATTTTCGGGAGTTCTTTGATTATACCATTGTTAGTTTGATAAGATTGTTCCTTGTTAATCTAATAAATCTAGCACTCATACCATATCATTCTTTTCATTGGAGTATTTGTGCTTTGGTGGTGATTGACAAGAGTGGAGGTTCGTGCCGCTATCAAGATCAACGACGTGAAATCGATTCAGAGACGTGTCAGAGTAGTAGCAAGAGCTTAGGTTGGCTACCGCTAAGAGATAAGTGTTTCAGTCAATTAGTCTATTTTGTACTTCTTTTTGTCTTAGTGGATTGATTTCTGCCTGACAAAGTGCCCATGATTTTTTAATCCCATCTTAGGTTTTTCCACGTTAAAATTCAATGCGCATTTTACTTTACATCTTATTTATTTGATTGATTTGGAACTAGATTTAATTGAATTAATTTTCAACTTGGTAATATTAAAATTGAACTTAAAAGATGATAAAAGGCTATTTACCACCCCATCCTCAAGGCTATTAGGTGGTCTAGCCATGCAATTTCAACTTTGGGTCCATTTTCATGTATTTGGGCCCACAATTGGGCCCGTTTGGACATTAATTGGCCAACTGCGGGCCCATAATTGGGCTGACTGTTGAGTCCGTTTTCAAATTGGTGGGCCAACTTTTGGGTTTATTTTAAATTGAGGGCCATTTTCAAATCAATCATCCATATACTTTATCACCAACAATTTTCACTTTCAATATTAAAGAATTAAACTAAGACACATATACAATTTCATGATGATGAAATTTAATTGACATAGTTGTGGAAGAAGTTGAGGGAAGCAACAACCGAGGCGTAGTGGAAGGGGAAGAAAGAAGTATGGGCCTATTTTTAATTTGGGCCTACTTTAATGTTATCGGTCCAAATTCTAGGCCTGTTTTCTTGGTTTTGGGCTGACTTCGGGCACAAAATATGGGTACGCGTAATACATATGTTGATGGGCTAACTGTCGTCAGTAGCTTCTATTAGGCCTATATAATTAAGAGATATTTAGTGATATACCCATTTCTAGCACTAATATTATAAATAAACCCTACACAATTGAATTTCTATAAACAAACAAAAAAAAACCAAAAAATGACAGCTGACCTTATTGAATTTAATATTAATTATTAAATTACTTTGATGCCCTATTGAGTGTTTTGGGTATTTTTATGAGATTTTGGGGTTGGGCTTGTTTTAAGAAATTGATGGCAGTTTTGTAATTTATAAGAAGTTAAAAGCTTTTTTGTTATGTTGTAAATGGGCTTTGGGTGTGTTTTTAAAGTCCATTTCATATGGGGTATTTTTATAATTTGGGCCCCCATATTTGGTATAATAGTGAATCTCCCTATAATTAATTATTGGGTCAAGAAATGCTTGTCTCAGGGCATTAATTTGTCAATGCCATCTGCAAGTCGACTACACAATGCAAGTAACTTGAGAGACTGCAAGTGACTTCTCACTACAACGAGTAACTCCTCCCTGCATAGCAATCCCTAAACCCAAAATGCTACTTAATTTTGGCATAATGGGAGAGACTATAATTTATCACAATGAAAGTGACAATGTGCCTTCATTTGTGTATAAAAGACTACTGATTCTCTACCCCTTGCGACCAAAACAAGAGCATTGCTTCCTTCTTTTTATGTTATATAACAATTTTTTTTTTTTTTTTTTTTTTTTTTTTTTTTTTTTTTTACTTGTTTTTCTCCATTTCCACAGATGTGGAGATCAACACGGATAGCCAAATGCGAGGAGTCTATTATTCACAAGCTTGCCAACTGTGCAGGTCATTGATGTTTATATATGGGAGACGTCGGACATAGAAATAGTATCTTTCAAATGCCTAGGGGAAAAAGGCCATTTTGCATTTCAATCTTTCTACATTTGGAGATTCTTTCCCATTCTTAACCAGGGAAGGTTCATAAAAACATAAAATGGAAGATCAAGACTCAAATGCACATAGAGGAGTTCATTTAGGGAGTATCATTTGGCCCGCGGCTCAGCCCGGCCCGATTTGGCCCGACTCAATCCACGTATGATTTGTAGTCAAATTTTGATGCTCAATAATATAGATTACTACAGATCTACTTGAAAAACTGTTTTCTCTCAAAATTTGACTAAGTATGAAAAATGAACTTTTGAAATACTAATATTTTCAATGATATCCTTACATCATAAATAAGCAAACATGATTTTATGAGATTTTAGTATAAAGTATACATTGACTTATTGAGGTATCAATATTGGTATAAATTGTATCATATACTAAAACTGGATTTTCATATTTTGATTTGTTGGGAATTTGATTTTCTAGTATTTTTTAATTGTATCGAAATGGAGACTGCTTCCTTATTTATATTGTAAACTTAAGCAAATAGAGTAATATAAAAATAAATTAAAGTAAAAGACAAAACATTTATTGAAATATTTAGAATGGAAATAAAGGAAGCCAATATAAGGAGGAGAAAAAAGGCAATGGGCGGCTTGTGGGTCACCTGACCTGGCCTAGTCTGAAAAGCCCACTTAGGCTCGGCCCTATGGGTGGGCTCAGGTCAAACCCTTTCAAACTTCGGCTCGGCCTGTCTTCGCCGAAAAAAAAAACTGACAAGGCCCAACCCAAGCCTGGCTCAAGCCCAGTAATTCAAGCAGCTCCACCTCAACTAGAGTAAGGAAGTCAAGCACTCTTGATGATCTCCAAGAAATAAATCTTGGTACAGATGACCAACCGAAACCAATATTTGCTAGTGCCTCGCTAACACTTCAAGAGTTGGAAGATTATACACAACTTCTGTGAGAGTACCGAGATGTGTTTGCATGGAGTTTATCAAGATATGCATGGTTAGGCCTCTGCAGCAGACTCACACTCCAAGTAATACCTCTGCAACCTACTTGCAAATGGAGTGATAAACCAACACCGATACTTAGTTTTGACAAACTGAGAGAGATTGCAAGTGAGATGTATAATTAAAATTCATAATATTGAAATCTGACTTCTCACTACTGCAAGTAACTCTCCATGCAAAGCAACCCCAAACCCAAAAGGCTACTTAATTCTGCCATAATGAGAGAGACTATAATTTATCACAATGAAAGTGATAATGTGCCTCCATTTGTGTATAAAAGACTATTGATTCTCTACTCCTTGCGACCAAAACAAGAGCATTGCTTTCCTCTAACCAAACAATGTCTCTTTATTATTTTCTTCTCTTATGTTTATAATAATTTTTTTTTTTTGTAACACATTCTTTACTTGTTTTTTTCCATATCCACATATGTGGAGATCAACATGGATAGCCAAATGCGGGGAGTCCATTATTCTCAAGCTTGCCAACTATGCAGGTCATTGATGTTTATATATGGGAGACGTTGGACATGGAAATAGTAGCTTTCAAATGCCTAGGGGCAAAAGGCCATTTTGCATTTCAATCTTTCTACATTTGGAGATTCTTTCCCATTCTCAACAAGGGAAGGTTCATAAAAACATAAAATGGAATATCAAGACTCAAATGCGCATAGAGGAGTTCATTTAGGGAGTATCATTTGGCCCACGGCCCGGCCCGACTAGGCCCGCCCAAGGCCCAACCCTGTCCATGTATGATTTGTAGTCAAATTTTGATGCATAATAATATAGATTACTACACATCTACTTGAAAAACTGTTTTCTCTCAAAATTTCACTAAGTATGAAAAATGGAGTTTTGAAATACTAATGTTTTCAATGATATCCTTACATCTTAAATAAGCAAACATGATTTTATGAGATTTTAGTATAAAGTATACATTGACTTATTGAGGTATCAATATTGGAATAAATTGTATCACATACTAAAATTAGATTTTCATATTTTGATTTGTTGGGAATTTGATTTTCTAATATTTTTTAATTGTATCCAAATGGAGGCTACTTCCTTATTTATATTGTAAACTTAAGTAAATGGAGTAATATAAAAATAAATTAAACTAAAAGACAAAACATTTATTGAAATATTTAGAATGGAAATAAGGTAAGCCAATATAAATAGGGGAAAAAAGGCAATGGGCGGCATGTGGGTCGCATGACCTGGCCTGGTCTGAAAAGCCCACTTAGGCTTGGCCCTATGGGTGGGCTCGGGCCAAACCCTTTCAAACTTCTGCCTAGCCTGACTTCTCACTACTGCAAGTAACTCTCCGTGCAAAGCAACCCCTAAACCCAAAAGGCTACTTAATTTTGGCATAATGAGAGAGACTATAATTTATCACAATGAAAATGACAATGTGCCTCCATTTGTGCATAAAAGACTACTTCCAAACAATGTCTCTTTATTATTTTCTTCTCTTATTTTTATAATTATATTTTTTTTTGTTAACACATTCTTTACTTGCTTTTCTCCATCTCCACAGATGTGGAGATCGACAACGATAGCCAAATGTGGAGATGTCGGACATGGAAGTAATAACTTCCAAATGCCTAGGGGCAAAGGTGATTTCGCATTTCAGTCTTTCAACGTTTGGAGATTCCTTCCCATTCTCAACAAGAGAAGGTTCATAAAAACCGAAAAATGGAAGATCAAGAGTCAAATGCACAAAGAGGAGTTCATTTAGGGAGTACCATTTGGCTAGCGGCCTGGCTCGACTAGGCCTGCCCAAGCCCTGGCCCGACCAGGCCCAAGTACGATATGTAGTCAAATTTTGATGCACAATAATATAGATTACTACACATCTGCTTGAAAAACTATTTTCTCCCAAAATTTGACTCAGTATGAAAGTTGGACTTTTGAAATACTAATGTTTTCAATGAAATCCTTACATCTTAAATAAGCAAACACGATTTTATGAGAATTTTTTATAAAGTATACATTGATTTTTTGAGGTATCAATATTGGTATAAATTGTATCATATACTAAAACTAGTTTTTCATATTTTGATTTTCTAGTATTTTAATTGGATCCAAATGGATGGTACTTCCTTATTTACATTGTAAACTTAAGTAAATGGAGTAATATAAACAAAAATTAATGTAAAAGAGAAGACATTTACTTAAATATTTAGAATGGAAATAAGGTAAGCCAATATGAGGCAAAAAAAAAAGGGCAATGGGTGGCTCTTGTGGCATTTGAAGACTTGTTCATTAGGATCCCCAACAGGTTCAACATTTTCCACTCTTGTGGCATTTGAAGATGAAGAATGGTCTAATTGTTCTCCGTGAAGGTTCCAAATGCTATATGTCTCAATCATTCCATTCCTTACAAATGGAAATCCAAAATTTTCAATTGTCTCCCACAAAGTGTTGTTACACCTCCTACAAGGACAACGGATTCTAGTTGCACCTGGGTTGTGTGTACGTGCAAACTCAATAAAATCCTCGATTCCATCCAAGTATTCGTCTGCGCATCTATTCAGGTTTTGTATCCACCTCCTGCTCATAATTCCTGGAATCACAATAACAACACAACAATCACAATAACTTCATACGAAGTCATAATGTCACCTTTTGCCTCCGGTAAGGGTCCTATCCCATTCAGGAATGCATAGTCATGTCACGTAATTTACGGCTACATGAGATTAGATTTCGACATGGATGAATTTCGGTAGCATCTCGATACAGTTCTTGAGGTGTATTGTAGGTATAAATACCTACGTATCACCCGAAGAACGTACATAGATGACACTGAAATCTCCACAATCGAAACTTAATCCTGTAGGCGTACATTACGTGACATGACTATGCATTCCCAAACTGTTCAAATAATGGGACAATTCAAGAATTAATTGGACCGCAGTCATGCTTTACGTATCCATGCACGAAATCCAACTAATATCAAACAGGAAACTAAGTGTTACCAAAAATAAAAATAAAAGTGCGAAGTTAATTTCAATTAACTTTGTACATCACAACACATTGTGCTACGTCACGCACAATTTAACAACATAACATAAATATAATTTCACAAAAAAATACAAACATAACAAACTAAGTTTAACATAATGTAATTAATTTAATATTTTTAAAATATAAAACGAATAAAATACCTTCTCAATCTTTTTCCACCAATCACTAATTACAAATATCCCTAACAAGAACGAAATTAATAGCGTTAGTATGAATTTACATTAATATTTTTAAACTAATGATAAAAAATACTTACCCAATGAACGTACTGAATTCCCAACAGAGGCAGAGGCAGAGTTTTTTTTTGCATTCTACCTCTGCAATGGTAGAATCCATATATGAAGAAGAGGGATTTTGCGCGACGAATCTATTTTTTCATCGCTCAAATTATCGTCGAGCAAAACCACATTTTCGTCGCAAATGTGGTCCATTTCGTCACACAAAATAACCTTTTCGTCGCGCAAGTACGTGTCAACAACCCATTTTTGCACAACGAAAAATTGGTTTCATCGCACAAAATTTCATCGCGCAAAAGCAAATTTTCGTCGCGCATGAACGTGCCGACATCAAACTTTACGCGACACCATAAATTTCCATCATGCAAGTATTTGGCCCCAAATAAAAAATCCCACGTTTTTCTTACGCGACAATAAAGCTTGTCATCGCGCTAAGTTGTCTTTTGCGACGACATTTGTTGTCGCTGTTTGCCGCCAAATAAAAAAACCCTCTGTTTTCTGTCTAACGTTACGCGACGAAAAGGGCAACCGTCGTGCTAAGGTTTCTTTCGCGACAATATGTGTCATAGCGCAAGTGTTTGGCGCCAAAAAAAATTAACCAGCGTTTTTCTTCCTCACTTTGTGCGATGCCCTCGGTTTTTGTCGCGCTAAGTTTTCTTGTGCGACAAAACTTTTGGTCGTGCAAGTTTTCGACAGTTTGCGCTACAAATTTTTTTTCCCGTCGCTCAAGTGTATCTTGCGCGATGAATTTTTCGTCGTCGCGCAAATATTAAAATGTAGTAGTGATATCTACCTCATTGTTCACTTTCATCAAGGACTAAGTGAAGAAATAAAAAGCCTTTTCTTGGGAAACTTGAATGACTTTGTCTTCTTCATGTGCGTTCGACTTAAAATGCCCACTACACACATGATCCATACTAAATCAAGTTACTCGACTTTGAGAAGGTGTAGTAAGGTTGATCGAATTCTTAGGAAAATATCTCATATACTCTGGACCAACAAGGATTGCCTCGCCATAAGTATCAAGGGCATGCTTTTCGTTAAATTCCCACAATGTCAAGACAAAGTTTGTCAAGCCTCGCACGTGTAATGACGTTACACACAAGAAGCTGGAGGGGACAATTGTTGAGGTTAAAAAAATTCAAAATAAAATTATATCCAAAAACAAAAAGTCATTTTGTGTTCCTAACATTGTGGGATGTGAGAAACCACCATTCCTATCATAGTTTACACTATCGGTTGTATTTAGAAAAACTAGTACATATCAAATCATTCCATCCAAACTGAGGAATGCAAATTGGAATTATAAAAATATGAATGCAGATTATTTGTTGAAATATTTTATTTTATACCTTTCTTATGATCAATTGATTATAAAACTTAATTCAACTTTGTCTTTTCATATTTTGTACAGGATCCTTAGTAATCAACTACCCACAAATTCTATTTTATGCCTCAAGGGGTCCAAGAACATTCAATCAATTGGACTATCAGTCCTTTACCCAAATATAAAATAGGCAACCCTAACAAACTCACACAACAATGTATTAGGAAAATATAAATACAGCCACCAAAGCAGAATAACATCACCTCTATAGAATAAAATCCCACATTTTGTATTTATTTTGCTCCATAAAGAAGTAGCATAATAGCAAGCTAAGCAACAAAACATAACATTTTATGAATTCTACAAATTTTTATAACATAATAACAATTAAAAGAAAAGACACATACATTTTCATGGATTCTAAAAAAACATAGATGAATATGTTGTTAATGCCCAAAATTGGGTGACAACTTAGATAGAAGAAGTGTGGAGTCTTCAGCATGACTAGGGAGTTGTGGACCTTTGGCAACAAATCGATCTTGCAAAAGAAAGACGGAAGAAGCAATCGTCAAGCTTTGGGTATCGATGTGGTACCTGCCCAAGGCTTTCCGATGCTTAATTCAACAAGTGTGGGGTATATAGTAATTTGGGCAGAGTAACAATAAATGTAAAAAGTTGTTACCATTTTACTTGGGCACTATTCCTCTTTTATAGAGAAATGAAAGTGGGAGTTTGCACAAAGTTTCGATGTGGGACTTTATGAAAATCACCATGGTGGCGATACATGTCTAAGGCTTTAGGTTATGTAGTTGAGAGCTTCAGCAACCACCTTTAGTAGGCAATTGCCGCATCGAAGGAAGGTATCTCTTCAGCATGCTGAGATCATGACGACGTCATCAGTGTTTTGGGGATTGCCCTGAAAGTGTTTTTCCTCCGACAGTTGGTGTATCTGTCTATGCACCAGCCCCTTAGTGCCGAATGTGCTCGGGTCATTACGGTACAAATAGTAGTCCCCTAAGTTACCAATCAAGGAGTGGCTTCCAGGTTGGCAACTTGTAAAATGCTTAGTAATCAAACCTAGGGGCATGATGTCGTACGTAGTCCCTTAAGTTTGGAAGCTAGAAGTTATTTTGGCATTGAGGTAACTGGTCATGGTCTTAAAAGTAGTCCTGAGATGGATGGTGACATGATCGGTACGTCGATTGCTGAAGGATGAGGTCGTGTCGGACCAATTGTCCAGGGAAAATGATCCTAGCATGAGTCAGGTGCGAGTCCCCTACACGATCGGTATAGATCTTATCGATCGATAGGGTTGACGTTAGGCACGAGTCAAGCGTTACTCCCTTAAGCAATTGGCACAGAGCATGCCGATCGGTAGGGTTGACGCCATGCACGAGTCGCGCGTCAGTCTCCTACTCAATCGGCACAAAGCTTGCCGATCAGTAAGGTTAATGTCATGCACGAGCGTCCTACCACGTATTGGTGTTGAGTGGTTGAGTGGGAGTCCAACCGGTTTCATTGTTGTGGAAATTGAGGTGTTTGGTTAGGGCGGATGAGAAATAATAGCGATGGTTCGTAAGTCGAGGCATCGGTATGAGTATTTAGTTTTTTCGGTTATTTGGAGAAAAGAAAACTAGGCGATTTCCGGCGAGTTTGTTGAGGGAGCAAAGGCGATTTCCGATCAAGGGTGTCATGGTGAAGGGGATTTTCGGGGTTGTCTAGAAGGTGGCAACGATTTCTGGTGGTGGTCTAGACAATGGTGGCGATTTCTAGTGAGTCTCTACGGTGGCGATAACATGGTATTTTCGTTTTGTTGCCCTTCTTTTGGATTGAAATGTATGTTTGCTTTAAGTTTTTTGCATGAACCTTTGAATAAATATATGAACATTGAGGATCATCCATAGAGTAAGAAATCATAAGCATTCCATATTTTAGGTGCCCCATTTTGATCTTCACATGGGCATTAGATTTCTCTATGTTGTGTTTGTAGATGTCTGAGAGTTCTGATAAATAAATTCATGATCCCCTTGCCTTTGGTGGGGAAGAAACTGAAAATGATGAGCTTAGTGTTTTTTAGGGTGCCAATGAGGAGGGTGCCGAATCAGAAGGTATTGTGAAGGGGTTGATAGAAGAGGGTAGGGTTGGGGC